AAGTGAGTATGCGCGCGCTTGTGGGTGTCTGTGTGTGCGCGCTCGTGCGTGCACGCCATAAATAGGTCTCGCCACACAATATGGTCTAGGTCATCGCTTGAAGCCAACAAGTCAACTATTGAGACCATTTAATTATAGTCGTCGAGCATACTGCAGAGTGTGGATATGGGCTATATAAATGATATTACTATAATTATTATTATTAACTGAGGGTTTAAAGTTGAGAAACGATTTCGATTTATCATGCTGTGTCTGATTATTTGTTTTTAGTTGTGTGCAACCTGTAAGACACAGGATCCCCAGATCGGTAAGCTCAAAATGATGGTATCGCCTCGTTCCCATACTGTCTGGGCCTCATCATTATCCTATTAATTTTGGAATGTCAGGACAAAGGGTTCAATCCGCTCATGGTTCTACCTTAGCAGCTCTCAATGTCACCACACTCCGTCCCACTAGGATGGGAGAGATGAGTACCTCATCTATTACTTTCGCGTCCTCCTGCCCAAAAATTAAAGTTAATACTGAGCCAGTTTTTGAAATTATTTTGAGGTTTTCAAAATATCCATAAAAATAAACTATGTCAATTAATCTCAGGGTGAGTAAAAGAACAAAGACAACACATTTCTTTTTTTTTTGTAATGAACATCATATATTTTTTTTTAAAAACAACCCCACTACCCAGCGAACCATAAGGCCTACTGAAAGTCACACAAAAATCCCTTCAACATTAAAATTTGTCTTTTTCCCAGCCATTCCAGAGAACACCTACTACCCAAAACCGAACACTAGCAAATTTACAGGTAGGCACATAACCCAAGCCACACGCTCGCTATAGTCATAAGCATGACGAGAGGACGGCCGTCTAGGTTCGGGTCATGGCACTCGCAGAGTGAGAACACCCCGCCAAAGTACATGTCTGTTTGGACGGACTCCGCTGGAAAAATAATTATTTCGGGCCGTCAACACGGCGTTGGCTCCCCACCATCTGCTTGTTAACCAAAAACGCTTATTGGAGAAGGATGCAGCATCAGTGTTCTTTTTCCCGCCTCACGCATTCTCTTTATCTGCTCATCTTTATTGGGTTTTCTCTTTCTGAAGATGCGCGCGCTTCAATACCGTGCGGCGTGCTGGTAAAAAAAAATGTGTTGTGGTGGGGGGG